CGAATTTCTCAGAGTTCCTCCAAAGAATTCCGTCGCCAATAAAGTAAAGAATTCACAGAAAAAAATGTCCTCAAAATAACCGACTAATATCCCTCCACCTGAAAATAAATTCGACAACATAAAAAATTCCAGCTAACCGTCACCGAGCCATCAAAAACCCCCACCCAGGATCTCATTAACTTTCTCAAAGTAAAAAAAGAAGCTTCCTAAATCAGCCAAGAAAGATTGTTATCACGCAAGCTTTCAGAACCAGCACAACTCGCCTGTTAGTTACGACGTGTGACCAATAAAATCCCAGCAAATGCATAGTTGGGGGGTGTTTACAAAATAACACGAAGGAGATGCTGAAGAGCTCTTGGAAACGTCATAATCTCATCCCACGTGTTTTTCGTTGGACACTATTTCCACGGTTATTTTTATTTCTTTGTCCCCTGTGCTCCTCCTTTTTACCTTATTTCTCCTCAGATATTAATGCTCGCCAAGTCACTTGGTCATAAATCACCAGAGGACATTGGTTATACAGCCCTCGGACTTGTATTCTACCTCTTGGAGATTTTGCGACTGTACGTCGCCGGTTCAGTTGAAAACCGACGGAATCACATTGGCCGAATGGTTTCTCCCGTTTTTTTTTATTCCTCTTTTCTTTTTTTTTTTATTTATTTGCACATATATATGTCGCTCTTAACCTTTGGGCAACTCGTGGGGGTCCACTAGTATTTCCACAACGGAATCACGCTCTCGTGGGTAACCACCACGTGTGCCCCCATGTTCCTTGAACCGCGAAACTATTTAAACACGTTGATATTGCTGGACCTTTCAATCACGTTTTTCCGGGGTCATCGGTTTTATTTATCGTCTTGTTCCACTTTAATCCCCTCCATCCCGACAATTTTTCCCACCCCGCGGAGAAAAAAAAAATTCTCTATCAGATGTAAACGCGTAATTAATTCATATCAATGAATAGACTCAGCTCTCGAGATATTACTCTGTGCTATTGCGTCTGGTGTTATTTATCGGGGCGAATAAACTTCTTTGGCAGGCGCAAATGGTGGACCGGCGCGTGGATTTGCCATGTGCTGGTGATTCCAGATGATGTTAATTATTAACAGACCACTGTCGTATCGAAAGTCGACCGACTATTTTCAAGGAATTGAGAACATGTGGAGTGGCTTCCGTGTGGATTCAATTATTTGTGGATTATTTGCAAGATGCGCATGAGTGTGGAAATTTCAACGGTTTTTGATATTCGCGGGGGAGGAATTGTTTATTATGAGAGAATGCAATTTCTTTTATTTTATAGGTAGTATGAACGCTGAGGTCAAAATTATGCGGAATTTTCAAAAAAAATTTTTTTTTTTAATTATTGAAAATTATGATAATTAGTTTCTAATAATTAAAAATGATATAAAATTAATGTGGTATGTTAAAGATGGGGAAAATATGCCACTGAGGGCTGATTTGGGATTTTATTGGGGGAAACTGAATTTTTTAGTAAAATCGAATTTTTAGTTTTAATTAATTGAGGATTGATTCATGAGAAAATATCTGGGGATTGATGCAATGATCTCATGGCTCATGTGATCTCAGGAAAAAATTCGGGTATGATCCAAAGATGTTGACAATTTCCCGTGCAACACTAGAGCTTTTTCTGCAGAATTAATTTCCCGGTGCGGTTGCCTTGGGCGATGCAAATAAAAAAAAAAACCCCCGCGAAATATTCTTGGGGAATATAAAACATCGGTAGCACCTTCCGGGTGAATCCTGTGGTTTTTTCCCCCGACGATCTCCCCAGGGGTAAAAACTGGTGACGGAATGCGTGTTGAATACTTGAATTTATCCCACGTAAAAACTGAGAATGCACCGTACAATTGCGTGATGAACTTGGAAAAGTGGCACGCGACGTACAAACTATTCAACTGTCTACATTTTCCCTTCTGGAAATTGCGTAATACCACGAGTCAATGATTGAGGGCAACAGATGACAGTTTGAATGACACGACAAACACCTAAATCATTGTGATTGAGGCGTTTGTCCATTGATTGACGGCACACACGTTTGTCTAAAATTCAGTTGATCACAGGGAGGAGATGGGGTTGTTACGAAACATGAGGGACTCGAAAAAATAAATTGAATGATTGAAACTCCCAGCGGGTGTATTGCGGATGCCCACATGTGTTATTGCGCAGTAAGAATGTCCCCGGAGCCCCGCGGCTTCGCTAATTGGAGGAGAATATTGGTCCATTGCGTGACACTCTAAATTCACTGCAAATTCTTATCATCTCAGTTTTAGCTCCTCAATGTTCCCCCGAGAAAAACGATATGACACAAAAATTTTGGGATGCTACACCCGTTTCTTCCGCATTCGAAAAATAAATTATCTAGATTAAAAAAAATTCGTCAAGAATTTTTTGTAATGCCCTAACACACTTTCTATCTCTGATCTTCATCAATAAACAATTTTCTTTATATGACAATTAAAGATTTGAATAGTAGAAAATTTTCCTCTCAATCCCAAAAAAAAAAATTCATAAACAGAAGAAAAATTGAGGATCTTAATTTTTTTTTTAATGAATAAAAGAACTGAATTGCGGAAATGATTAAAAGCGTTAAAAGCTAACCGTAAATAGTACATTGGAAATTAAATTTTTTCAAGACCAATATTTTAATAGCACAACCTTTTCCCTCCGCGTTGCGTTAGTCCCACGTGAATGAAAAGAATTTAATAACACTGTATGGGTTTTTATAATTATGATAATTGATGCGCCCCCCAATTTTCTACCTGAAAGCTATGCATTATTCATATCGACGGAGGTGAATTGAATGATTTGTATCGCGGGGTGTGACAATGTCGTATAAATCCTCGAAATTACGAGCGGTCGGTGAATAAGAGGTCATCCAGTTATTTAATGGTACGTTAATTAATGGTAGTTAGTGAGAAGCAAACTGAAACACATCATAGCAGATGACAACACGAGATATCGCGGCGGTCTCTCCGATGTGGAATAAAAACAGCGAGTTGTTGGTCTGACGCACGCAGCCAATAAAACTAATTAAGAATCGTGATGATTCCATAATAACGCGGAACCCATGCTGCGATCCCCACAAGAAACGAGGGGAAAAAAAAAATATCCTCGATGTTACTAGTCAATAGAGTTTAGTACTCTATTACTGGAAGTACAACGGATAAAAAGGGGGTGGCGAGAGGGAGGTGAGAGGGGTTACATCGAAGACTAAACTTGCCTTGATAATCGAGTCATGTTTCCGAGGGGTCGCAGGTATATCGACCAACGGATCTAACGTGGTAGCTCGTAAATTAACTTGGCCGAGGGAAAAACGAAAAATCAAATGTAAAATGGGGATAAACACGCACTGAGATGAGAGGGGAACACCGGAAAAAGGTACGCGTCGTGTGTGGGTGCGGGTTATCACAGAATAATCTTGAATTAGAACTCATTAATGGGGCGTTTGGCTTTCCAAAATCAAGTGATTGGCATCGCTTGATAGAATTTTTTTTTTTAAGTAATTCTAGTCTTATCGTGAAAAATAAGACGCGAATTATCATTCGAGAAAAAACCTGCAATTTAATAAGAACTGCATTTCTTTCGACATTCAGGAATTTTTGGAGAAAAATAGAAAATTAGTACTCAATACAGGGAGTGAGATATTTTAAAATATTTACTCAGATTTTTTGTAGTCCTATGATTTAGTGACCATTCACGAGATTTTACTCCAATTATCAGTAAAAATTCCTGAATTACCATTAATCCACGCGATAAGAAAAATTCAGGTTTTATTGAATATTCCTCTCTGCGTATTGAGTATTAATTACTCCTAATTGAGGATAATTGCACTCAGTGCATTTCAACCCTCTCTGGAAATTCCGTAAGCTCATGAAATTGTAAATTACCTAAAGCTGAAAATACCTCGATTTGAATGTTTAATGTCTCATGAATATTCAGTGCGAAATTACTCTAAAAAATGATTGATAACCGAAAGATAAGATAAAAGGTAAAATTACGGGATACCTAAAGTATCCGACAAAATTTCCCTATCCCAATCAATACCCCAGGAAAAATAAAAATGAAATAAATAACAGGTGAAGTCCCAGGGACTCCAGCTAATTGGAAAATTGAAACGAGTCGTTCTCAGCAAAGAGCATACGCCTATTCCGACATTAATAGGATAAACCAAGATTTATCTCCACGTGTTGGAGTTTCAGGGCCAGCGAGATTGATGATAGTACCCTGAAGATTGACGAAGAAGAGACCAAACAATGGGTTGATGGGGGGCTGAAAGCGAGTGCTCGTTATTCTCACGGCTGGAAGTCGCGTTAAACGTCGCCCCACGGTTTCGCACGATCGACACGAGAGTAAAGATGAGGAGAGTAAAGGGGTACTCTTTTCCGGAGGAAAAAGCGAAAAAAAAAATAAAGAAGAAAAAAAAAAGAATGGAAAACTCACAACGAAGAGAATTGCGCAGCGATTCCCCTGAAGATACCCCTTGACAAGACGATACCACGAGGATTTCAAGGCGTTTGGTGATTCCGAGGCCGCAATTTATCCAACCGATTATTGCCGATGCATCTGCAGCTTGTACATGTGGTAGCCAACACATACCCCAGATAATTGCATTTTGATGATGGATGGTGAATTGAACGGGTGGGTCAACAGTTGCCGATCAAGTTCACGTACCCAGCAGTTTTCATATTTTCTGTCCCCTAACAACTTAATGACAGCCATCGAACGGGTATTGACTGGTACCCGTTGGACTGTTATCAGCTCTCATATCCACAGCGTCAATCTTCACTCACTTCTCCTCGCATGTCAAGATAGAGATAAAGTACACCAAAGACAACCGGCTATTGTCGAATCATCACTCACCGGTAATTAACCTGAGGATATTAAAAGAAGATGTGGTAATTACAAGCGCCCGGATATGACCAGTCATCCAGATTTATATAATAACCGTGGAATGTATTTTTTACTGTTCGATTTTGATCCGACAGTGGCACAACACTGACATTGAACAGTTGCCATTATGCGGTACATGTGCCATTTTCTTTGATCACGAGTTTTTATGGCAGTCTAAACAATTACAAATCGCATCTCTCCTGCAAATGGACGTGAGTATCGTGAATCGGTTTGACGTGGCGTATTGATGAGTATGAGAGTGATTGATGATTATTATCAGGGTGATGGAGGTTTGGGTGGAGGTGAGCTCCAATGGGCGGATTGGTTGGCCATTGCCATCATGCTTGCCATCTCAGCTGGCATCGGTGTTTATTATCGATTCAGTGGAGGCAGGCAGAAGACCGCTGAGGTATTTTTCATATTTTCATTATCTCAATTAATCACAATGGGTGTTAACCTTCTTTCTCCCATCCAGGAGTACTTTGCTGCTGACAGATCCACTGGATCATCCATGATAGCCATTGCCATGATGGTTGCATGCTTCTCTGCTATATCCATACTCGGTTGGACCTCCGAAATTTACAGCAATGGAGCCATTTTTTTTGTCCTCATTTCTGGGGTTGTCACTGCAACACCAGTTATCGCTTATTTTTATCTTCCGGTTTTCTATGAACTCCAGACTCTCAGTGTTTTTGAGGTATTTTTATGCTTGGCGAATTTCTCCTTTAACACACAACTTGCTTTAACGCTCCGATAGATCCCAATTACAAAATTCTATTTTTCATTTTTGAGATCCTTTCGGATTACGAATTGCGAATCTCAAAAAATGCAACTCTCAATTATTTGCTTGAATTTTACGGAATGCGCATTACAATTTGATATAGGAATCGAGAACATTCATGTCGCAGTTACAATTACATTGAACTCACATGATTTGTCCGTCCTAGAACGGATTGAGGTCATCCTGAAGATGATCTACTGATAAAAATGTTTGCTGATGCATTTCAATTGAGAAGATTGTGTTTTCGTTTCTGCAGTACTTGGATAGACGATTTGGCTCGACAGCGAGGCTCACTGCCAGCATAGCATATTTTATTCAATACATCCTGTTCAATGGTGTTGTCATATACGCTCCATCACTGGCGTTGGAAGCCACGACGGGACTTAATGGAACAATGAGCATTCTCCTAATAGGTATCATCTGCACCTTCTATTCGACCATTGGCGGCATCAAAGCTGTCATCGTCACTGACCTTCTGCAGGCCGCCCTCATGTTCGCATGTGTCTACTGCGTCATCGGAGTTGCTGCCACTGAACTCGAGGGGGGACTCTGGAGGGTGTGGGCCACAGCCCAAGAAGGGGGACGAATCAATTTTAATCAGTAAGTCCTGTCCCCCATTGATAAGCCATTCAATTCTCCGCAGCAACAACGAATGTCCGAATTTAATACACGTAAACACTGGAGGGACGTCAAAACTCATGATCTTTCATTTTATCTGGCGATTTTATCCAGTCGATTTGATTTCTGATTCGAGTCTCTCTGTCTCTGCAGACAAAAAAACGTGTGGAATTCAGATATTCGTATTTGGTCTGTTGTAACACCGATTTTTGCGTTAAAGTTTCGAATGGGATCCAACGGTCAGGCACAGCTGGTTGTCATTGATATTCGGTGGAATGTTCTGGTTTCTCATTGTACTTGCAACCAGTCAAGTTCAAGTGCAGCGTATGCTCACTGCCAAGTAAGTTAAAAATTTAATCTCAATTCAAGAAAAAGTGTTTCGGTGTGTCTCGGGAGATGAATCCGAGATTAATCGCTCTGAGCGACGAGTTGTCGTCCAACATCGAGAGGAATAACTCCCGAAAAAAATTGGTGGATTATAATTGGTTCATTATAATATCGATGCAGATCACTGGGTGCCGCTCGCAAAGCCCTGTGTCTCAACGTCATTCTGTCAATCTCCCTGATATCTGTAGTAGTATTCTCAGGACTCGTTCTCTACGCCTATTACAAGGACTGCGATCCAGTAACAGCTGGTAAAATAAAATCCTACGATATGATAATGCCATATTTTGCGAAGGACCGGATGACAAGGATCCCCGGACTTACTGGCCTCTTCATATCAGGAATATTCAGCGCAAGTTTGAGCACCGTATCCGCTATGCTTAATTCACTGGCTGCGATGGCACTCGCGGATTATCTGAATCCCCTATTTCGCAGGTGTGGCGCCGAGCTGGATGACACTAAAGCAGCGACTTATGGCAAGATAATGGCAGTTCTGACTGGGATAGCCAGTTTAGGGATTGCCTTTTTGGCGTCGACAATGGGATCTTTGATTCAGACAGTCGTTGCCATTCATGGAGCACTCGGTGGTCCACTTCTTGGGCTCTTCACCCTGGGGATGTTCTTTGAATCTGCTAATGAAACTGGAGCTATTATCGGCGTCGTCATGGCACTCGTCGCCAGTGTCTTCACAGCTTTTGCAACTAAACCACCGACACCGGTTTTACCCATGTCCATTGCCAAATGCGTCAATGCAACTTTAATCACAACAGCACAATCTCCAACGTAATTATCTTCCAGCCGAATTGTCAGCTGATTGATTGATTCATTGATTTTCTTTCAATTTAAGATCCGATCCATCCGAATTCTTCTACATGAATCGTTTGTCCTACCTCTGGTATCCGATTCTCGGCTGGAACATGGCAGTCACTTTTGGATCAATCGCTAGCTTCATTGTTTCAAAAGTCTCAAAGGTATCCCCACCAATTCTGGATCCAAGTCTTTTCACACCGATCCTTGCAGCGAGGATACGCCGAAGAAGGGAGAGAGAGGCTGCCGAAGGAAGTCAAGTATTCGTCCTCGACACCAAGAGCTTCGACAGGGAAGCAATATAACCGCTTCCTCAAAATATTTGTATTAAACGATCTTTTCAGAGCAATATACCGAGAATTTTTATGCGCATTCCTTGCTATAACCATCCAAGAATATGGGGTAATTATCAGCGCCAAGGAGCGTGCGCTATCGCCAGACACCCGTAGATAAGAAAAATCCGTTAATAATCCATTGAACAACATCACATTGAGAGCGAGGATTCCATCCACTCATTCCAAATTTATTGCCGAGACAATCAACGAATTATCACTAATTATCCCCGTAAATTCCTGCACGGCTCATATGCCCGACTCCCTCCTCACAAATTACCGACAAATGCACATATTTTGCAATTACAAAGTGTCATATCTTTGCACTTCGTCTCTGAGGTAAACCGTTGCGCTCACGAGACTGTCATTACGCTAACAATTTCAAAGCATTACTTTTGAATTACGCCGGTAGTACCTCAATGACCTCACAGACGAGTGGACCAATAGATAAGCTCAATGTGAAATAGAAAAACCGGAAAAATTCAGTCTCGCTGCCTAATATCACGAATCAGGAGTAGAAGGACGAAGTTTCTATCTCAGTGTTTATCTGTAATTGGTCAGTTTTACATAATCCCGTGTATCGGAAATTATCCGAGAGTGTCTGTCCTCACTAGTTGGCTCTCGAGGACAGACGAATGAGGACAGCATTGCGGAATGTTTCAGTTTTAATTTGTAAAAACTCATTTACTCGTGTCCCATTAATTATTCAAAGGTAGTTCAATCGATTCCAGAATGGAGGTAAGTAATGGACAATTAGAAATCGATGGCATACTTAATTGGGAAAAACTGGTCTCATATGTCATTGCAATTCCCGCAGGATCCAAATTCACCTATTCCGGAAGAGGGATTCCTCCATTGGCCCGATTGGTTGGCAATTGGATTGATGCTGGCAGCGTCGGCTGCAATTGGAGTCTATTATCGATTCACCGGTGGCAAACAAAAAACAGCGGAGGTATTGAAAAACCATCGAACAGACGAGACTTCATTTATGATTCCAAACTCTTCGTTTCCAGGAGTACTTCACAGCCAATCATTCGACGGGAGTTGGACTATTGTCAATCGCCATGATGGTGGCATTTCTTTCAGCAATATCACTTTTGGGCTCAAGCGGTGAGAATTACACGTACGGATGTATATTCAATCTGGTATACTGCGGCCTAGGCTTTGGTACCCCAATCGTCGCCTATTTCTATTTACCTGTCTTCTGGGAGCTGCAGGTGATGAGTGTCTTTGAGGTAATATTCCCAGAAGTAGGTAATAATGGATTGTTTCCTGGATGTATTTAACTCGGTAATTGTGCGAGATGTTCTAGTATTTAGAGCGACGATTTGGTGTCACTGCCAGACTCGTTGCTAGTCTAGCGAATTTCCTTCAAACGAGTTTGTACACTGGTGTTGTCATCTACGCGCCATCACTTGCACTGGAAGCAACAACTGGACTAAATGGAACAACAAGTATTCTCTTGATCGGACTCATTTGCACCTTCTATTCAACAATCGGCGGTATCAAGGCTGTGATCATCACTGATCTCGTTCAAGGTGCACTCATGTACATCTGTGTCTTCTGCGTAATTGGTGTTGCATTGAGTGAGATTGATGGTGGTGTGTCGAGAGTCATTGAGGTAGCGTCGGAGGGCGGTCGAATAAATTTCCTCAAGTATGTTTGTGCAGTGTCAATGATACGATGTAATCCTAGGTTGCTAATCAATTTAATTTCCTTAGCTTCAAGCTTGATCCTACTGAACGACATACCTTCTGGTCCTTGAGCATCGGTGGTACATTTTTCTTTTTGTCTCTTTATGCCACCAGTCAAGTGCAGGTACAACGAATGCTGACAGCCAAGTTAGTAAACAATATCAGACAATCATGATTTACGATGATAACCCATTCAACCTCATTCAAACAATTTGTCCAGATCAATTGGAGACGCGAGGAAGGCTTTGTTCATCAATATCCCGCTGACACTCTCACTCACCACAACAGTATCATTCTCGGGCTTGGTATTGTACACGTATTATCGCGATTGTGATCCAGTTCTCGCTGGCAAAATAAAATCACACGACATGATAATGCCGTACTTCGCCAAGGAGCGCATGACAAAAGTACCCAGTCTCACTGGTATATTTATATCTGGTGTCTTCAGCGCTAGTTTGAGTACAGTATCAGCTGTTTTGAATTCCCTTGCGGCAATTGCTCTATCGGACTATGTTAAACCACTGCTGCGAAAATTGGGGAAGGAATTGCCGGATAACAAGGCAGCGTTTTATGGAAAAATGCTCGCTCTGTCCATTGGTTTCTTGAGTCTGGCCATTGCTTTTCTCGCATCCAAGCTTGGTAGTTTAATTCAAGCTGTTACTGCTGTTCATGGTGCTATTGGAGGGCCTATACTTGGATTATTTACACTGGGTATGTTCTTCGAGAACGCTAATGAAACTGGCGCTGTTGTGGGCACTGTCTTTGCGCTTGTCTTCAACATGTGGGTGGCATTCTCACCGAAACCAACACCCAGAAAATTGCCCTTGTCTGTTGAAGGATGTCCTAATTCCACGCTAATTTACACAACTACCATTCCACCGTAAGTAATTGATTTTTCATCTTGAGAATTTAGCACTCCGTGAATTTATAAACATGAATTAACAATTTCGTTTATATAATCAATTTTGGAATGTCAGAAGATTTCGGGAAAAAATGGAAAATCTATGGAAGCGCGATAATTAATTGAGGATTAATGAATTTTTCGCAGGGAAATGGACGAATCGTCATTTCTTTATATTCATCGGCTGTCCTATCTTTGGTACACTCCAATCGGATTGATCGTGGGTATCATTGCGGGATACGTAGCAAGTCTCTTTGTCAGGAGATTCTCTAAAGTCCCTATTTCACCGCCTGACCCGAGTCTATTCACCCCCTTCGTGGCATCGAGGATTCGCAAACGATGTGAAAAAGAAGCCACCACAGGCAGCCAAGTATTCGTCCTCGACACCAAGAAATTCGATAACATAGATTCGTGAGAGCTTCGGAGCTGCTTTCGTTGTCGTCATCACTGATATCCAGTGAATTAAGACGACAGGGATTTGCTGTGTCTTTGTTACACTTTTGCATTCAACGCCCACGAGACTGTAATAACGAGACCCCAGATCATTCGAAAGATAAACGAAACAGTATTTTGTGTCGCAACTGAGTGAAGCAAACAGGCATCGTTATTCACTGCTGGAAAGTTACACTTCAAATTTCAAATCAAAAAATTTGAAATTCTCGACAACGACAAAGAGACGAGAAATGTTTGTGGAAGAAACCATAAAATCTTGTAAATTCAAGGAATAATTTGTATTTGTTTTTAATTATATTTACTGTTGAATTCTCCTGATATTTATAAAAATTCAAGTTGTCAATGAAAAATCATATCATTCACCATGAAAAATTGAAATTGAATTCCAACACATGTAGATGAAAATTCAACAGACTTCGCGACTTGAATTTCCCGAAATTTTTAACAGCATTGCCATTTTGAAATAAGCGAGGAAGAAGTTGAAAACCGTCAATAAATACCAGAAATAATGAATGATCAAAGTGGAGTTCAGTTAACCGAAAAGAGGAAACTCACATTCCAAGAATTAATGCATCTGGCCAGATTTTCACTGGAACGTTTGAATACCGTGTCGATGTATATCAGAAGAGAAAATATACATTACACACTGACTTCGGATCTACGGGTTATCCTCTCAGTGAATTAACACATCTGAGGTTTACGTATGTGATGGAGAAATCATTGGGCTTGACTTTGCGTATTAAGCTGGTTCTAACGAGCGGCCACTGAACAGAATATGAAAACTCGAGATCTCCAGGTATAATAATTACTATAGTGGGTGTGCATACAGAGTCATCGGTAGCTTATTGACATTGGCGCACCCAGTGTATGAAAGAGAGAGAGAAAATCCGCGTGGGAACACATTCCTTCCATTTTCAATATGACATTTTGGCGTTTGTTTGCCCAGGCGACCCACACCGCATGTTAAAATGATTAAGGGATTGTTTTTACGAGGGTAATATTCTACCCTCTATTTTTTCGGCTCTCATTTTTTAGTTGGACTCACGGGGGAAATATTAATCATGGACGACCGGAAAATGGACGATGCCAGAATATTATTTCATTTTTCGTAAGTGGAAAACTGGAGGTTTATATTGGGGGCAGAGCCACACCCATCGCTGTTGAAAATTTACCAGTTGATATAGGACATTTTGAAATCATTCCTGGGAGTACATTAGAACGATTATATATTGTGAGTCATAGAAATCGGTAGAAAATTATCGGTTATGATATCACGAGATCTTCGAAATTATTGGAATATTTCCCGGTGGTTTAGTGGCACGCTAGTCTTGTCAGATTTTTTTGCAAAATGGTTTCAAAGAAATTGCAATTTCAATTTTTTTTTTGGTTATATTTATCATTAATAACGATTCTATGAAAATTTCGCAATTTGTTGATATAATTCGGGATAATCGGATTTTTTAGTATTAATGAAAATTTGTTTTTGCCGTTGACAAGTAAAAAAATGGAGTTTTAAATCGTTTTGAAGTATTTTTAGATATTTTTTAATACTGCTGACCTGAGCTCTTTTAATACTGCTGTTGCCATCGGAAATTCCTGGGTTGAGGAAAGAAAGGAAATTTATTGTCGCAATAATTCAGTCGAGATGAATAAAATTTCGTCGTTTTTCCGGCGTTCGCGTAGTTATTTTTCATTTAATATTTTCACCGTGTAATGGAGTGGACTTTAAAAATGGGCTCTCACTGGGTTTGTGTCAATGAAATATGCAACACGCTGGCGTAACAAAAAGCCACAATGTTTCCTACTTGAAGTACTCAGTCTTGACCTCACGCGGCTCGAATAACTCATGCTAATGCGATAATATCGCGAAGATGATCAAGATCGAGTGGTGGAGGCGTGATTCTCACTCGTTTCTCTACCCCTTCATTTTAATTTTAAATCATGATTTTGTGGTGGTGGTAACTATTGTCCAGTCATCCGCTCGAGTATTTCAAGATCGGTTATTGTTAGTCGATTATTGATTATTCATGCACCGTTTTATCACAACAAATCCTGATATTTTTAGGAATTGTCTCAATTGAATTACGGCATTGTCGCCCATACGGTGGCTTCATGGTTTATGCCCCATATTCTGAATACATGGCTTTAATTAAAACTTGTTGTGTGGCGCGAATTGCGGACGAACTAGCGTTAATCAAATCAGGTGAATTTATTTGGCAAATACTTGTTGGATCCAATTTAGGAGATTATTTGGAGGGTATATATGTGGTCTGCATTCGCAGGAAAATTCATTCCGTTTAAATAAATGGGCCCTGACATCCGGGGAAGATTTAGGGGCATCACATTTTTTACGTTGGATTGCGTAATAAATTTTTGAATAATCAAAATTACTTTTTCATTCCTCTAAATCCCTGTCTTGCGATGGAATGAAGGAATTAAAATTGAAAAATTGAGCGCTCTTACGTGAAATTTCTAGTTGTTGAAAAAAAAATTCGGGGATTAATGTGGAAATTTGACATTAATGTGAGATGATTTCGTGAGACTTGCGGAATTCAATTTTTGAATTCTTCTATCAAATAGCAAATGTCCCAACCAGAATTCTCCGAAAAACCGATAGAGCTGTCACTGATTGAAATCTCCGGATGAAAAAATCGTTTATATCTAATTATTTACAGAAATCTGTTTGAAATCTTAAAAAAATTCAGTCCTAATTAATCCATCGATCTTCGATTTTCATATCCTCAATCAATCCCAACCCGCCCATCGATAAATCCCCGACGAACCCCTCTAAATAAAATATTGAAGTTAATTCAAATGAAACAACCGTCAGCTTGAAAACACTCTCCCCTCGATTTAAAATTCTTATTCGTTTCGAATAAACTCGACCGGCTGTAATTCCCTGGGTTCACCGTATCCCTCAATTCCGAGTTTCCGGGTTGCATTGAAATGTCGAAAGAGTCATAAAAAAAAATAAAAAAAAACACCAGTGTAATTTTAATAATGAAAACATTCGGTGTAGCCATAAAACCCGCTCCCAAGTGGAAGTGAAAACACGAGATGATGACGCAGTGGCCGAAAGTGTTTTGATACGACTTGAAGAAGGCCTACTCGAAATATATTAATCCCGACGAAGTAATAAAAAAAAATTCACTCCAAGTAGAAACTATGACGGAATAATGAGCTCGGGGCGATATTTAACTCTCGTCCCTGGATATAAAATCCAAGATGTGTTGCGAGAGGGACGAGGACACCATCACCGAGAACTAGTTCTTCGAGACACCTCAGTCGTTTGAAAATTTTTTTTACTCGAGAGAGAGTAATCCGAGAGCCCTAGGTTGAGGTTTCCATGTGTCACGATGTTAATGTGCGTGTATCATCCCCAGGTGAACGGAGATTAGGTCGATTGGCCGTTACAGGAGTATCTTGTCACCAAAAAAGAAGCCCACGAGGTGCGTCCGGTCGTCTCCTCGAAACCGTATCGCTATGGGAGGTCATATATTTTTTTTCATTTCTCTTTTCGGTGAAAATTCCCTCGGAAAGTTATTTTTCGGCTCATTGGGTGGAAGTCGGTGAATTAAACTCACATGTTCGGTTACGTAAATTGTGGCAGTAAATGGAGCACATCTCTGGACACTGGAGTTATTTAAAAGTTATTTTCTGAGGAAACCTGTCTGGGCTTTTCAATTATGTTTTTCGGTTGTTCTTGTTGAGGGACTACACACGGGGCCTTGGAGGTCTTCCCCTGTCCCTCATCCTCTGGGGGCCTATTCTCAACACTTGGGAATTAAATCCGTGAACGAATATTTGGTATTCACTTGAGAACGCGGAATTGTAGACGTATCGATAACATTCGTTAACGGATTCGTTATTTTGTTAGTCTTGCTATTCTCATCTACGAGTCTCTAGGATATTTCGTATCGGAATAAGATTCCTGTGCGAAAATAAAATTGTCAAACGAAAGATTTTCCCTCATGAATTTAAAATTCCTAAACGAAAGTCATCAACGAATCGTTCGTTCCTTCACGGATTGCGTTTCGTTCACGAAAGATGTTTCCTATCCGTCGAGAATAGGAAACGAAAATATCCTGGAGAGGAAATTTCACGCATTTTTTTTATCTTCATTCCCTGGAATCCCGGGGGAAGGCCTGCATGGGAGAATTCATTGTTCCGACTTGTGGTAATTGAGGGGTTGGACACCACCCGCATGGTGAGGTAATATCTATTAAAAATCCATAAATAAAGAGGAGCAATTGACGGGGGAATGACGCAACGCTTCAATCTCCCAGGGAGATTTTTTTTAATGAGTGAAAATTAAGGAGATTTTCAGTCGTTGCGCATTCATAGGAATTCGGTTCAGATTTATTATTTAAGATTATTACGCGGTAATAAAATTGGTAATGAAGCTATTGCTTCACCAGTTAGAGTTGTAAGATGAGATGCGGATTTTAAATAAATAAATGAGAAGATATAGGCAGTAACTCTTCAAATATCGATTAATCATAAAACTATCAATTTTAGGAAAAAATATGAAAAGTCCTTTTTCACGGAAAATCTCGTGAGCTCTAAGAAAGGTTCTCAGGATTTTCACCTCAAATCAATAGTTCTCATGGAAAATCGATAATTACAAATAACAAAAATATTAAACGATTTCGCCATTGAATAGTGGATTTCCATGATAAAAAAATCTTGAAAAATTCTTGAAAAATTCTAGAAAAATTCCAAAGAAGCCGTCCCTCTCGAAAAATCTCGCATTTCCATTTCGTTGGAATTTCGTTGTACCGAAAATTGCCCCGAAGAAGTTTAAACCTAGAGAATAGGAAACGTGTCTCGTTTCACGGCAATCGACTTAGCGCATTTTTTCGTTCCTTTTCCCGAAAATGCTGAGTTAAGAGGGATGGATAGGTCCCGTCTACAAATAAATCGGATGAGAAATGTGAATATGTTAGCTAATGGTGATCGAACGAGAGAACGTGCCGATGGGATCGAATCGGAACATTAACGGAGTGCTCAAA